TTCTGTTGCCACTAACTCAACTTCTCTGCTTTTTATTAGAGCATTATCAAAACCACAACATCCAAAGCAGCAGTATATAGAGAAACTCTTAAGTATCCTAAACAGTAAACATATTCTAAGATGTATTTCAGATTAAAAAGGTGCTAAAGACCAATCTTTTGCAAAAACTGATCAACAGGCTCCTTTCCACAAAACCAAGAGGACTCTAGTCTGGCCACCTCTATTGCTCTTTGGTGTAGCACTACCATGTGTGGACAGAAGCAGACTTTCAGGCAGAGATTTTTTTTTTAATTACTGAAAAGTTAAAGCCAACAAATTAGTTTCCACCAAAAATCTTACAGTCAATCCACCTTGGTCACAGAACTTTAGTGTTGGTTACTTTAGACCTCCAGAAACTCTGAACCCAAAAGGGAAAGACAACAGTTGAGGCCGCTGCATGTAAAAGAATGGCTACAGTCACTCAACACCCACCTAGCAGAGGTCTAAGACCCAGCAATACCAAGGAGCCAGAGCATGCATCTCCAACATCAATATATATTTTCATTGAGCATCCTCAGATGATCCAGCTGCTTCCATCCTCTGATGGGCATTCATTTTAATCCTGCCTCTACTGTGTGACAGCTACTCTAGGTCTCACTGTAGATGACCTGGCAAACTCGTGCCACGGCAGTATCTTCTTGGTGTCTGCTGCAGATAAAACACCTGCCTGACCTCCCCCTGTTCAGAAGACAACATCCTTAGTTCCAACTCCAACAGCTTCATGAAAATCCATTAACAACCACTGGTGTGCCAGTAAAAACAACAGGCTTCTACTTCACTGGGGTTTTTTGGATGTGAATTCCATTGTATTTTTCTTAATTGTGGTAGCCAATCATTACAGCATGTCAGTATCTGATCTCAGTCACTCATGTTGAAGACAGAAACTGCTTCTGGTTCAAACTCACATCTCAAACCAGACTGCACTTTCAAGCTAGTGATCCACGTAAGTACAAGGAGCAGCTTCCTCTCTGACCTCTGCTGACTTGTTTCTCCTGCTGTAATATCTGACTTGGTGGAAATATGAAAATCAGCATAATGTGTTATCAAGAGATATCAGGGATTTTGCTTCGTTCTTTGAAGTGCACTTGAACTTTCTAGAGATAAATTGCAGTATCTTCTGCCAAAGGAGGTTATTTAAGGGAAACCTCCCTTTGTGAAGCCTATTTTCAGGGTTCCTCTACCTGCATGTGGAACAATTTTCTACAGGTATTTTACACTAAACAAAGTCATATTACCTTAAATTTTAAAAGGCCACACAATCCATAGTTTAAATTGTCACCCTGAAGAACCACCATCAACACATTGGGGAACAAGAAACATCATAACTTAAAGGGGAAAACCCACCAACCCTGTACATATAGAAGCAGTAATAAAGTATTTTTCCCTCAAAGACATGGCTGTTGGACACAGAGCATTTACAAAATTCAGACTCCCAAGAAAAATTAAACCAGTGACGCTTTGCCTTCGTTTGCAAACATTTATTTATGTGTTATGTAGAGCAAATCAGAACTGCACAGCAAGAGATACCAGGCTAATCACTGTAGTAATTTAATTACTCATAGATACCGCTGCCTTAACAACACGTACTATCTCGGTTACAGGGACGGCGTCCCCACTACTTCGACCTATCCCCGACATCTCCCTTTCCACGGCACAGCCCCAGCCCCCACAGCTCAGCCAGCCCCGGCCCTGGGCTGCCCTCTGGCCAGCTGCAGCGCTGCCCGGGCTCCTCGGCGCCAGGGACCAGCCGGGAGCAGCCCCGGCCGCCCAGCGCTCCGCTCGGGGCTGGCGCAGCACCCGGGGCGCCGCCTCCCCCC